ATTTAAAGTTGGTGTAAGTGTTTATCTGTTTCAAGTGATCTTTAACCTTTGACTGCAAGGCACTTAATCAAATATTTTTAATAAAAGCTGAGAAATTTTTTTTTTTCCATATGGAAAATGGCAACATATATTAAAGATCTCTGCTTGTAGAAGTTGCTTCTTGCGTAACATGAAAATAAAAGAAAACACAGCAAGTACATATGCACATGGTGAATCATTTATTAGTGACGGGTGCCTGAGCTCTAGTAGCGTCTATATTGCATTCCCTTTTACTATTGATTGGGCTATGGTCATGTTCTGTTTATTGCAGTTTCAATCACAGGTGTCACACAAACAGTAGAGATACGACTGGAAGACATCCTCGCGCTCACAAAGGCATGTAAACATACACAATCAAACATGCACAGGCACCCACAAATAAACACAAACTACACAGCCATTCTGTTCCCGCCTCAGTTTAATCCTGTTAGAGCGCATTAGTCTGTGCTTTTCTATATTTCATTCATAGCTCAGCTGATGAGCTGTTTTGACAACATGTCAGAATCTCATTAGACTAATAATGCAGAAGATTAGAGCACACGCTCACATACATACACCGATGTGCGCCAGAACAGGCCGACACTTACGCCAACACCTGCGCTGACATACACAAGCACGCACGCACTGATGGCTGCTTATAGTTCTGCAGGCAGGTTTTATGGGTTTAAGATGGCACTAGACTTAAATGTCACGGAAGGTCACGCTGCAAAATGTAACCGCATTGCTCCATTACCTGCCACTGAACAATGACCAGCTACCTAAGAGGGCTGTGTGTAGGGACACGGGGAGTTTACTCTGTTAGCGAAAGCTGCCTTCTTCCCTTGTGAGAGAGAGAGGGAAGGGAGAAATGCATAGGAATGGGCTGGATGTGGATATGGAAAGAAATGAAAGTAAAGGACGGAAAAAATGGTGCAGAGGAGGGGTTCTGTGGGTTTTCTCCTCGGAATGCAAGTCACACACATGCACACACAGAGACATATACACAGAGACATGAATGAGTAGAGGGGAGGAATCATGCTCGCTAAGTAAATGCCTTCAAGGCACTGGAGTTTAGTTGTGCATGGTTAAACATAAAATAATTCCCTATTACTTCATTTGGAAGCCACAGACAGACTGGCCAAGTACAAAGGCATGAAGGAGTAGCTAGATTAGCTTCACTGGCATTAGATCACAAAACAGCACACAGTTCAGGTCTTGTAAACACGGTTGCTGTTTAGATAAAAAAAAAAAACCCCAAAACAAAACGATAAAAAAAAACCCAGCAACAAAGGCCAACAAAAACGAGCCGCAAGAAAACAAAGCATAATTATGTCTGATGAAGGACAAGAGGCAGTGCAGATGTGTTAACAATGGCTGCCCCAGGAAGGAGGAGGAGGAAAAGAAGGGGGCTGAGGTCAGCATACACTGAGATCTCCCCAAATAGCCGGGAGGGATGCCTCAGAATGCATATAAATATGGAGGGAAAAAAAGGGAAGCAGGAAGTTATGAGAAGTGAGAGAGCAAAGATTTAGAGGAGAAAAAAAAGCAATATATAAAACGGAAGAGAGAGAAAAAGACAGGGCAGGGTGAGAAAGAAAAGACAGAGAGACAGTTTCAGAGATTAGGGATTTAAGGACTGATAGGAGGAGGCTTTTGTGCAGTCACAGAGGAGTAAGGGAGAAGGAGGTTTTATGCTAAACTATGCAAATTACATAGTTCTATGACAAGAGCTACACGGGCTGGGAAAACACACAAGAGCACACCGATGGAGCTTGATTCTAAGAAATAGACATACACATACATACACAGTCACATAAATATGAAAACAGCAGAAATGGAAAATGTCACTTTAACCCTTGGTCACGGGAGAATAAGCAAAAACTTAATGAGAAAGTTAAAAGTAGATGATCACAGTGATTGTTGTTTGTATAACTACTTCTGTACTTTTGTTACCTGTATAGAGACACTGCTAAAAGATCCTCCTATGACTCCTGCGATTGCAAGCGGGCTGTCGTCCTGCAAAGCATATGATCCATCGGGACAGATGAACTCTGTGTCGTCCACCTTGGTGAGAGAGGCTCTTACGAACTCCAGAGCCTGGGCAACACAGAGACACAGATATTTTAGAACAAGTGTAATGGATCATGCAGGGTACAATATGGTCTATGTTTTCTATTAACTCTTAATCAGCCTTTGAAGTATTTTTGCTGTAATGAATGTGCTACATAAATAAAAGTTGAATACGTTGAGGTTATTTTTTAATGCAAAGTTTCTCTCTTCTCTAAGGACAATGAAAATCTATTGCTTCACACATGAGGTTAATTCATTTCAGTACAGGGTCCAAATTGTAAATTAACTCATACGAGACCAAGGCAGATTATACTGTATTTAAACTGCTGTGGGAAACAAGTTATAAATCCACAACCTGTTTAGAGAAACCAGATGTCAACAATTCAAGGTTTATGCAATCAGTCACAGAGCTCATTGCGTAAGATCACTAGATGCATCATACCTAAATAGCTCAGCAATAAGAAGATTTTTTTTGAAGATAACAATCCTTGAGGGGAAAGTGCCATCCTTTCTTTTTATCTGGCTCATTTCCCCCATCGAAAATAGCTTCAATCTATCTTTCTCATCACGGATTTGCTGTTATCATTCAAGGCAATATCCTTTTTCCTTTGTGAATAAAATAGAATTTTGAGGTACATTTACTTCACCTGAATATTACCTTTTAATGAGAGCCTATAGTTTTACTCGATTTAAAATGGAAACGTTGCACATATAACTTCTGAGGCCAAAAATTACTTAGATGAGCAACTTTTTAAAGACAAAATATAGCAAAAGTTCAAGTCGCCTAGGAGCACAAAACAACTAATTAGATTTTAACTGTGCTGTACCTAAAACGTTACATCAGCATTCACATGGATTATCCCGATATTTCAGCAATGTGCTTTTGTGGGGATTTGATTATTTTCAGTGCTGTCATGTGTTTACCTTTAATGTCCTTTAAACTGACTTTGACTTACATATGTAAGATATGATTATGATGCGACCTAATTTTGTGGTAGTGAGACTAAATTTTAGGTGTGTGGGAAAACTACCATATGGCAGAAAATTACATTTGTACACTGTCTAGATTCATTATCTGCCATTGATGCACAATGGCAATCTTCACCCACCTGTTCAAGTGCATAGGTATCTCTGGAGCAGGTATCAAGGATGTGGACCCCTAGGGAGACCCCTGGTAGCAAAGCTTTGTCCGAGTTGATTCTGTCTATGGCAAACAGCATGGCCTCCAGCCTCTGGATCCCTCTGTCTTCATTAACACGGCCACATTCCTCCATGCCAGCTCCTTTTTCATGCACTGGAAACAGGCCGCCGAGCACCAGGTCACCCTCGATGCGGATCTCCCGACGTGACTGGGGTGGGTCTGAGAGCAAAACGCCTTGACACATCATGACCAAAACAAGAAAGGGAATGCGGGCCACCATGTTGTGCTCAGGGAGGATTGTCAGAACGCAAGAACAGGCGTGACAGAGAGCGAGACAGAGGGAAGCGAAGGGCTAAGGGTTAAGGTTAGGGGTGAGGGGTTACAAGTGAAGTGGACAGTGCTCAGTGGGGTTGAGTCAGGCAGCGGCCGTGGATTCTTGGGTTGTTTTGTGGCCCATGAAACGGTCAGGGAGAACTGAACTGGACCACACATGGAGGGGCACACCATCTGGGCATCAGTTCTGCTTGCAGAAGAAGGGAGAAGAGAGGAGGAGAAAAGAGAGGAGGGAAGAAGAGTGGGATATAAGTTTGTCAGTCCACATGCCACAGGGCAAATCTAAAAGCTGAAATACTTTTTGTGGTACAATGAAGTAGAAAGACAGCAAAGTAGACATTTTAGTGGAGTTTGGGGACACTGCTAACAAGGGCTCAGTCATTTCTGCTTTACAGGCAAAGCAAGGCCATGACTAACAGGGATATGGAATTGTTTGGAGATTTTACCCCACTCTTCTCCAACCTCCTCCTCCCTTACATCACCCGGTAAACTTTCTTATTGTAAGTGTGCACATGTGTGCGCGCGTATGTGTGTGTGTGTGGGGTGTCTGCCCCTGGTTGTATCAGGATAAGCCAGCTTAGATGGCTGGTTGATACACGAGCCAAGTCTTCTCATGCCACAGATCAGAAAAGCTTCTCTAATCTCATCTCTGTTCCAGCAATTCTCCGCTTGTCCATGAGTTTATACCCCTAAGTATATGTGTGCATGTGTGTGCGTGTGTGTGTTATCAGATTTATTGCTCCCCCTCTCCCTTGCATAATTACAGAGTGAGGGCTGAATGCATTTTACCATGAAAGAAGCTGTCTGACAACAATGAGGCCAACAACAGCTGATGCTACTTACTCAGCTTACGACTCAATTAAAGCTGTGTTTTGACTGTTTTCTTCACTAATGTGCTCCACCTCCATTTTTGTCAAAGCCGGCCTAAAATATATGAAATATATCAGCTAAATGTTAAAGACGGTACTCTACAGATTTTGCAGTTTACATGTTTGGACAGTACAACCCATGTGAGTATAAAGTTAAGAAATATACAAGAGCTTCTGTAGCTCTGGAGGGGTTTTGTCCTGTAAAAATACTTTAGCTTTAGCAGCATCCATGCATTGCAAGCTGAAGTGCAGAGCTGTGGGAATTTGCAAGGCAAATAATCTGTTGGGAGTCATTAAGGTTAGTGTACTGAGATCAGTATTTTAACAAGTAAAGAAACGGCACCTAGATATATTATGTGTACTATTACAATGCATCACAATGCCCTTTGCATTTAGAACAGGTATTGATAAGGTATCTTGTCATCTTAAATCTTAGTATATAATAATGTATGCCAAGTGTGCTGTAATAGAGCAAATCAACTTCCCTACAGCTAGGCAATGTCTCTAGCTTTTTTAGGGATCATCAGAATATATGGAGTTAGGGAGCTGACAATTAAGGAACTGTTCGTTCCACAATAAAAAACACTGTTTGTAACTCATCATCAATTTTTGCTTACCAACCTCCCTCGGGTGTGTGGGAAAGCAATTTTTTTCCAGCAAATGTCCAAAACAACATATTTTATGTTTCAAGATCAAGTGAAAAAGCTCATACAGTAGCCATTGTGATAGGAAAAACGGCAGGTGGCACTGACTTGGTAGGTCAGCAAAACCTTTACCACAGTTTGCAGTTAGTTAATAGTCAGTGTTGTTTCTTTTAACCACAACAAAACACATTAAGTTGCTGATGAATTGCTTTTGTTTCTAAATCTTTATGGCAGATGTTGTCACATGTCACCAGTACAAAATGATGTATAACATCAGAAGTATAGAGAACACTGAATACTATCAACACTGAAAGACCTTTACAATTATTGGATGGATTTCCCTAGTGCTAGTAGAAATTAACTAGTGCTTCTCCCTTTGAGGTTGACATTTTTGGAAAATGAATAGTCTGAACTAGTGGATTAATTGATATAAAATTTCACAATGTAATGTTCTTTTTTTATTTTTTCCAGAGGAAGCACTATGATACCTTTGGTTAGTATTTAATCTACTTAACAAATGTTCATATGACAAACACTCAAAAGTAACTTGTTTAGTATGGTATAGAACTCCTAAACATCAGCATGCTGGTTTTAAAATAACAACACACAGCCATGCTGCTGGAGGAATCCAACAGGGTGGGAGGAGGTTGTGGGATGCTCTCACTCACTTGTTTTCATTTCATATGTCACTGCTATTCCACAAAACGAATGGCTGATTTCATGCCAACATGCAGTGCTCAAGGAAAAAGGGGACTGAACCTCACATCTGAACCAGTTCTCAAAGGATACAAAGAGCCTTTGTGTGTTCTGTTCTGTTCAGGGTTCTTTACTGACAGGTCACTGTCTGCTTAATTTAACTAGTCTTGTACTATGGCCTTCCACTTCTGAAACAGCTTAAGAAAAAGGCGCAGGTTATTCTACCTCTAAGATAATCCCCTTTGTGAGATGTTGCTGCAGAGGCACTGAATGATCTGTATGGAGCCATTGTCACACAGGAGACATTCTGACTTCTGTAACTTAAAATCTGTGCTACCAAAACTTTTTCTGCATTTCACCTGCATAACCAGAGGCAAAAACCTCGCCTTACTTTGGGAAATCCAACTACCTGTCAGTGCTCTTGCTTCATGCCTGCAAGCAGAAAGTGAAATGCTTGCAGCCGACTGTGAGGACAATGCCAAGGCCACATTAAAGCAGCATGGGCCCCAGGGCTACATTTTTTTTCAAGGTTAGTGGAATCAACTAACCTTAAATTCTTTGTGAATATCCATATTCCAGTGCTACTCGTTCTTACCCAACAACAACATTTGATATGTGTGCAAATGTATGTGTGTGTGTGTGTGTGTATTTGGACAGAATTTACCACTAATTTTAAATCAAGAAATAAGAAACATTACCAAATATCCAGGTCTATCAAAACCTAGTGTAGCTATCAACATCTGTGCCTCTCTCCCAGATGAGTTGAGCAATTTTTATACTAATTTTAAAGCTCACAACAAGCACCCCAGAGCCCACCCAATGGGGCTGGTCTACAGGTGACCGAAACAGATCTTAAAACTTCTCAAAGGATAAGGACTCAGATTTTCTTGCATTGCTGCTATCCTCCACACATTATTTATTATGTTATTTACCTACTATTCCAGGTGATGCTATATCATTTCCTTGCACACTGCTTTAGTACACCTTGAAATCAAAAATACATAAATTACATTTCTGTTTATTGATTACAGATTTGCTTTCAATACAATTTTCTGGGAAGCAGTTCCTAGACTGTGAGAATAGGTAAACCATTCTCATCTACAATGCATGCCTTAGGGCTGCTTTCCGAGTCCCCTAGAGTACAGTCTGTTTACACAGAAATGTGTTGCCAAATATGACAACAACAGAATCATAAAATTTGCAGATGACGCCACAGAGATGAGACTAATAAGCAACAGTGGTGAGAGGCACTATAGAGAGCAAGTGGAAGACCTAACCATATAGCGTAAAGAGAAAAACCTCTCCCCAAATATCAATAAAACAAAAGAAATCATTTAGAAAGATCAAAGAAAATCATATTCTTATTTCCATCAGTTGGTCATCTCTTGTGGACAGTTTTAGATTTCTAGGTTTACACATCACAGACACCGTCACATTGTTGCTCCACATTAACTGCATTCAATAAGGCACAGCAGAGATTGTATTCTGAGGGTTTCAAGAATTTTGGCATGAGTATCTTGTGTACTTTTAATGGAGTGCCATCGGGAGTGTCTTGACAGGCTTATTCGTAGTGTGGTTTGGCAAACTGACAGCTTAGGATGGCTGCCTGAAAGAACCACAAAGTTAGTAGCAAGAATGGTTTGGTCTAACTTCATAATGATTAGACCAAACAAACAGACCCAAACTTTACCACATTTTATGTTTTTGTACTATCTTGCCCATTGCCTGTGTCCTTTATCTTAAGGCAGTCAGGCCATAAAAATGTGATTGTGTGACTAATTTGAATGAAAATAATGTTGACCTTGAACTTTCTAACAGATTGAAATGATACTGTTTCGCTATCTCGCAACGATGTTATTTAGTCGTCCCAGTATTCCAAGTATCATCTGTAAGATGAATAGATTTTTGCTACTGCCAAATCTTTCGGCCAATCCTTAAACATCATGAACAAGAAACATGATTAATTCACAAACCAGTTTTATTTAGATGATCAAGCATACCCTGGGAGTGGGTATAGGTTTGTGTAGCGCCGTACGATCCAAGCATAGTCGCTCCACTGCGGCCTTCTTTTTGCATGGATAGCATGCATTCTACGGGCATCGTGTTTAGTAAGTCTTCAACTGTCAGACTGTCATGGCAGCAAGAACAGCAAAGGATTACAGCGAAGGGGTTTACAAAATGACGCTAGCAAATTTAGGCTTTATTTAAATGATGGAGGTAGCTTCTGGGTCTGAAGTCTGCATTTTTTTCTAATATCCAGTCTTGGGGGATATTACAAATCTGTGCTAGTGTAAGCGCCTGTATATTTGAGGTCCGCTGGTTTATTGACTAATGCTGGTGCTTTCTGATAGGTTCTAACAGTATAGGCACATGGGAACAAGGTCACTGCAAATGTTAGCTGCTCTATTTATTAAGACCTAGCATGTGTAAGTTAGCAATAATGCATGCAAGAGTAGGCTAATGAGACAAAACTTGTCCTGCTTTTAGGAGGCTGGTCTAGCGGCTTGTGTTTTATATCAGATATTTTTTTAACTTCATTTGAGAGGGGCTTGAATTTATATTTTGCATCAGAGCACTTTAATCTTCCCAAGACCCATGTGAAACAATACTACACATCAGTAAAAAGAAATTATGCTTACTTGCTTACTTACTTACTAACTAGCTAAATGCAAATTACTTTGAAGGGATAATCAATGTATGCTTTTTATGATGATTTATGGCTAAAACACCTAAAAAAATACTTAGAAAGTTATTTCAACAAACCTAGATCCTTGTGAAGAATCTTAAAACGCATACATTGTCCCAGAACAAGCTGGCAGTTTATGATTTCATTGCATAATGCAAGTGTTGCAGAAGGTACGACCTCAAGAAGACTTCCCTGGAATTCTTCAATTGAACAAAAAGACCGATTTGTTCACTTAAAAATGTGTAAAGTGTTTAAAGTAACAGATAATTTGCTCATGGACACATAAAGGTAT